TACGTAGAGTCTCTAACTCGAATAAGCAACCTAACAATAAGAACGACCAATTTCACATTCAACGGCTGCACCCATGAGCAAATATTTGGTCTGCCTATGGGTTCATCACTCGCACCTCTGTGGGCTAATGTTTATATGGACAAGTAGGAGGAGACTTTCAAAAAGTCACCCCAGCAACCAAGAGTAATTATGCGATATTTAGATTACCACTTCGCAATTTTGTCGCATGTTAGGAAAAAAAAGACAAGTTCCTGATTTTCATAACGAAATGGATGAAAAAGTCAAATTTATCATGGATTTGGAAGAGGAAGGATACTTGGATGTGAAGGTAATTCGCTCCGAGGAAACTCTCAAGAAGAACTTTTCCTAAATAAATAGCATGCTGGAATAAATCCTAACTTCCAGTCGAACCATACTTATGGAATGAAGATTGGAATACTGCGGAGTATGGCCATAAGAAGCTTATGACTCACCAATTGAGAGTTCTGGGGAAAATAACTCAGAAATTTCTTTGAAACGGATATCCAGAAGAAGCAATACAGCGCAACATACGGATGGTGATGAAAAAAGGAATGACAGAGATTCTAAAAATAAGCAAGAGGAGCAGAGGAAAAACTATGGATATGTCTACCCTCCTGCGAATTGGCTCGGAAGCTGCGGTAAATACTAGGTAAATGGAACATTCGTGCAATCCTGATGAAAAGGACAACCCTCTTCTCCAGTTTTCCCACACAACATGAAGAAGTCAACAAAATTGAGTGCTTCGGAGTTTACAGCATAAACTGCAAGGAATGTGAACAAAAATACATCGGAGAGACGGGAAGGACAATCAGCACAAAGAACATCAACAAATATGCAGGAAAATGTATATGGAACGATTAGAGATAGCTAAAAACATCTCCATTACATTCCACACAATTGATTGGAATGCAAACGAAAAACCGGCCTCATGAGGGGAAAACACCTGGAAAAGGAAGATCAGGGAGGCTGTGAACATCCTCTTTCAAAGAAACCTGGTGAACAGGAAATTGGACGAGGGAGGAGTTTGCGATGATTTCGCGTACTGCCTGAGCAGACTTGGAGATTCAGCGAATACATAAAAAAAGACAACTGTTAAACGGCAGGAAAAGACATCACCAAGGCGCGACTCATGAAGAACAAAGGTAAGTCAAGAAGAGGAGACTGAAGTAAGAGGAGTCTGATGTTGAATTGGCAAAACATTAACCCAGGGGGTTCCTTTGTGAGAAGTAGGATATATAATTAAAGGCTAAAGGTATAGGTGGGCCAGATACAGTTCACTAGTGTCCGCGTATGTATTACGTGTATTTTTCGTATCTGTGTCTGAAAGGGAGTTAACTGGTGACATGCTTGACCGCGGGGGACACCAACCAGCACACGCACAGGAACATCATCCCAGTACCCTAGGATTATATGGGAATATCAACTTGAGAGACGAGAGGAATGTACTTTTCGCGATTCAAAGGGAAAAAGGGACACAGTGCCACAAATAATGAGGCACAATATTGGTGGGGATGATGGTGAGGATAATCGAGTGATGGGTTTGAAGCCTAGTGAGAGGAAGAATACAATGGCAGAGGACACAGGACGAGGTACGTTCCATAAGTTCTCCCTGACGCTCCGAGCAAATTGCGAAAACAAGGTCGAACCAATACTATACAGTTAAAGGAGATTGTGACCTAACAGGCCACACCATCTTGGTCGTCGTATCTACGATCCACTTAATATGGCCCATTTACCTATTCCTACAATATCGCCTAAGAATATGTCGTTACAAGTGGATTTAGTGAGGAATAATCATCCTCACCCCCGATTCTAAGTCCATTTGCAGGGCTTCTGACTTTCATTCCACCCCCTTTTTTTTCCAATATCCACTTGTCAACTCGTCGCTCCCAAACATTAAAATCACTGTGAATTGGAAAGTTGGTAGGAAGGAATTCGTGATGTGATTTACCCGGAAACCGAAGGAGGATTACCGCGTAGGAAGGCTGTTGATCGTGCGAAGAAGTCCTCGGCTCACCGTCCTGTGAACCCAGAAAAACTGCGTTAAGATTTCGTCTCTACCGTGATAGACATCATCAGAGCAAGAATCTATACTTTACGAAATAGGGCAAAATTATACTAAACAAAGAGAAAATGTTTCGTAAAGTATGTATTCTTGCTCTGATGATATGTCACAGTAGAGACGAAAGCTTAGCACAGTTACATCGGATTTGCAGGACAATGAGCCAAGGACTTCTTCGCACAATTCAACAATCTTCATACGCGGCAATCCTCCTTCAGTTTCCGGGAAACCACATCACTAATACCTTCCTACCAACTTTCCCTTCAAAATGGAGAGTCATGTCACAATATATCACTAAGGCACTCTTTAAAACTCAGTTTTTCTTCATTAAAATCACTGTCTGGCTGTTTGGAGTCAGTGATGCCCATGCAAAGACAGCTTCCTATCCTTAAGCTTCAGAGTCTTTACCCAGTTTTACTCTTTCTCCTTCCCACCCACTTTGATTCTCATTCTTTGGAGTCCTGTGTCTTGCTTAACTCCAAAAAGACGGTGTAAAAATTCATCGATTCTTTTTTTATAAAGCACGATCTCAAGTTGATAGTCCCATCTAAGCATAGGGCACTAGTCAATTGTTCAAATGTAGTTAGCTTATATCCCTGCCTTAATCAGGCTTGCCATCAGTCACCTCTCCTCAAACAACACACCCAAAAATTCAAACAATTACAAATCCACGCAAACTGAAGACCTGTTTCTGGCACACCTGCACCTATCTCCTCTAATGGAACATAATTCGCCTGTTTTTGTCTTTAATTTCTTATCCCATATCTCACAGGTGAATCCTTAACGGTAAATTTTCACACTGATTTCAGGTTTGACTCCTATCACTGCAATTGGCTTTTCCCTACTTCCCTTTTTCCCTCATAAAGCTCTCCTTGGCGATGTCCCTTCTTGTTCTTAGTCCAAGCAAGGATAGCAAAAAGATGACGCTTGAAGCAAGGAGAACAATTCAACAACAGATAGATACAAAGCCAAGTAGAGTATCATCAGAGACATACCGTCGTTTCCGAATTAGGCCGGACATAAGGCCCAAAAGAATAAGATACGATGTAGGTCTAAATCTTTGAATATTATGTAAACGGGGACGAGAATTGATGGGGCATAGACAACCAGATTTCAGACAGGCAGACAGTGATTTTAAGGCCTAGCAGCAACCAAATGACAAGCTGGATGTAGAAAAAGGAGATCTGAATGAAGGTCAGAAGCCCAGCAAACTCCATCAGGAATCGATTATGAGGATGATTATGCCTCACTAAATCTACTGTTAGCTACACATTCTTAGGCAATATTGGAATAGACGAGAGCACAGAGCAATAAGGAGTGGAGTCGAGAGAAGGAAAAAGTAGGACAAAAAAAAGGGGCGGGGAGTGATGTCACAACGGTTAAATAAAAAATTGACCAAGGGGAGTGTCTTTATTTGTCACTTTGATCAGTTGCAACTCTACGTTAACGATGACGCCTCTTACTAAAGATGGCAGCAAAATGTTTGGGAATGTACCAATTTAATGGTTCGATGCGGGAAGTAACGAATACTATGACAGAGAACATAGGAATAGGTACGTTTGACCTTGTAAAACATATTCATAGTCATAGCAATTATGTTGGGTGCATTATAAAAAGATGCAAAAAGGGCTAATGAATTTACAATACATACAAAAACTTGTCTCTGAGTCTGATTATCATGTAAAAACGGAGTATGAGCTTAGAATTCCCTAATAAGCTTTTCTCCATCCTGTAATGTAAGCAATGAAAATTAGCTATTTGAGTGTGTGAGCGTTAAGTGCATTAATCAGATGTGGGATGAAAATCCAAAAGCCTGCTTTCATTTTACGTTAAAAAGTTTCCGAGAAGAATTGAATTAAAAATATTGGCATAGCAGAAAATAGTTCTGTTTTAGATACGATTCCCGTATGGATATTAATATGGTTTTGGGGAAATCCAAATAGCCGTACTCCTAGGATAAGAATGTAGGGTTTAGCATTAATAAATATTTTCAGATAAATTATATATTAATTAATTAATTAATAAAATATACGAAACAAAAACACAGGCACAAAAATATATAGCAAAACAGTATACTGCATGAAATCCTAAGTGAAAGCCACAACGATAGTGATATTAAAGATATTAAAGTTTACGTCCTGATCACCTTCAAATAAAGCAAGATTTTGAAAAAAAATTAATTCTTAAAATGTTTATGCATGATTATAATGTGTTCAGCGAAAATTCATCAAATAAACACAAAATTATAGTTGCATATATAAAAAAATCGTTTGTATCGATTAAGCTCATTTTATTGAACAAATACGAATCTTTTGAATCAATTCATTGCATTTTATTAGATATAAAAAATACAGCTGTAAGTTTACCTCAGGGAGATCTTTCTCGATGTTCGCCTGAGTAGCAAGGTACTGGAGAGCAGCCGGAATATGCAATACAACCTCAGGGTTCAAACGGACCAGTCGGGAGACTTCATCTTGAATACGATCGAAGCCACGGAACCTGGGGTTCGTGAAAATAGTATGGTCGGATTAAAAGGAGCGGAAGATGTAAAAATAATATAAAAATCAATCTACGTATTAAGGACAATGTGATCCAAGAGTAAACGATTCATATAGAGATGCAAGCTGCGTGAAATATGTCTAGTAAGAATAAGAATTGAGTAGATAATAAATTATTTAATTTTAAATTAGTTTTAATTCGAATATGTCAATTAAATAATTTATGAATAAGAAAATAGCTACCCTGAAATGCTTAAAGAAAAGTAAGGATGGATAATTGAATTCTCTCACAATGAGATGAGTCAAAATCACAATACTATTGAAATTCATTTTGCCGTCTCTTAAAATGCTATCTCATCCAAGGTGGGCTTAAAAGTCTAGGTATCATCAACTACGTCCGAGATTCGATTACATGTTGTTATTATCATAGCCAATTTGCCACTCCAGTGCCCAGCTGCGGCAGACAGCGACTTACGAGGCAGGTGCGAGACTCAAACAAGTCTGGACTCTCAAAAATCACACGTATGGTTTAAATGCCGATTAAGTGTACATTTATTTGTCATCGCAATCGACAGCAATCCAAAGAGAGGAATATCAGCGGCACATCTAGGCTTGTTCATCTCATTGTGGGAAAACTCAACTATCCATTACTCTTTGACGAGTTGTAATATGGTGCTACGGATGGCGAGACTCACTGACGATGCCGGCGAAACATCTTGGAATGTACCACGTCCACGGTCCTACCCTGGAAATGATGATGCATACAATGGACTCCGGACTAGGTGCGTTCCTCTAAGTCTTGCTACTAATATGACCAAGTTGCGAAAACAAGGTCAAACAACACCTTTACAAGAAAGGAGACCTCGACCACACAAAAGGCCACACCATCTTGGTCTTCATACCTTCAAGAAACTTATTTTATTTACATAAGCCTATATGGCTGGCGATTTCCCCTGCCTTGCTTTAAAGGGAGACTTTGGATGGTTACTTGCTATATTTGTAACTAGTTTAGTTGAATTACTGTTCTGTATTCGATTATAGTCACCCCACTCTGAAGTTGATTTAGTAAGGGATAGAAGTAGATTACCAAAGTCTAGGCCGGCATGATAGGTGAGCACTTCTAGTCCTAGCACCACTCTACAATTCGTCAAAGAGACAAGTGAAGCCAATCCTTTCACAAATTGTTTGCTAAACAATCTCCTTCAGCCCTTGGCTAATCCCAAATCCTATATCCTCGTGTCACGCCTTTACTATGATAATTTATTTCCTTGTTTATTTAAACATAGAGTGGTGTGCCCTTTTGAGCGGCTTTCATGAGAAGCCTCCATACTCCACGCCTGTGATATGATCACCTTAACCATCGTGCTGGGAATTTTGATCAGAGTCTGCCATATGGTTACGCAGCCCTCCTCCCATGGGTCTTATCAGAGTCTCCCTCTTGTCCCGTAGAATCCGTCTGTTATATCTCTGGTTCAAGTATTTCTATCGTCCCCTGCCCCCCCCCATCTGTGCTACTCGAAGCATTATGACCCTTACCCTGCGTTGAGGTGATTAATTCCAAACTAAAGCCTCTGGGTAAGTCTCATGGTCAAGCCTTTGCTATATGCACCACGTCTATGGTAAAACAGGCCTACTGTCAGACAACCCACAAACGTTTTGGTTCAACGCTGAACCTAATCAAAGCAAGCAGTATTAGAGCATAGCTATTCATAGACTTGATATTACGGATAGAAACAGGATAGACGCTGAGGAGACTATAGCTAGTTGCCTGTTTTCACATTGATTTGATTCATGTAACAAAGGCGTGACCATTAGACTTACTCAGAGGCTTTAGCCTCGAATTAGTAACCCAGGCGCAGGCGAGGGCGAATAACGCCTCGAGTAGCACAGATGTGAGTGGCAGGGGTTGAGTGAAATATGTGAACCAGAGAGAGAGCAGACGGATCCTACGGCGCAAGAGAGAGACTGTGATAAGACCTATGGAAGGAGGACCGTGTAACAATACGGCGGACTCTGATCAACATTCCCAGCACAAGGGTGAAGGGGGGTGAGAACAACAGCGTGGAGTGTCAAGGTTTTACATAAATTCGGCTCAAACGAGCACACCACACTACATTGAAATGAGCACAGCTATAAAATTGCAACCGTGAGGACATGATATGAGGATATAGGAAATGTGAATAGCCCAGTGCAGAAGGAGAGATACCACAACTATTTAGCACACGTTTGGTCAGAGGGTCGGCTTCATTTGTCTTTTTGACGAGTTGTTGTGTGGTTCTATGAATGGCGAGACTCACTGACGATGCCGACAACGATGCTGGCGAAACGTCTGGGAATGTACCACGTCCACGGTCCTACTCTGGAAATTACCATGCATACAATGGACTCCGGACCAGATGCGTTCCTCTAAGTCTCCCTGCCAATATGACAAAGTTGCTAAAACAAGGTCAAATAACTTCTATAAAATAAGTTTTTATTTTCTATCAAAGCCATACTTACTACCCATAAATAGAAGTGATTTTGTCAAATGAGCCGGATCGAACTATTTTAGAGTGAGTTTGACTGTCACAAGAGGAGATGAAGCTAATATAAAGGAAAAAGCTTTACATCATCGATGTCGGAGAAGGATGGATAGGCAAGATGCAACAAGAGTATTCCGCAAAGAATAATAGTGAAAGGACTCTGGCAAAAACCTATATGAAAGACATCATAAGAACAAATTTTACCGAAGTCTAGGTGCTAGGATGTTAATCAAACACCAACCTCAAAAAAGTCCGTTATTAGAGTGAATAGAATATAATAAATGTTATTCGTAGTGATCAGAGTTGTGCGAAGACTGTGGAGATTATTTTAGCTCTATAATAAATCAAGTAAAATTTCATTAAACAGCATCTTAAGTTTTCAGGTTATCAAACAAATTTAGTCACCAGCAGTAGCTCTAAAAAGATTATTAAGTCTTTCGTAATATATGCAACAAAGTCGTTTTAGTGTTTAGTTGTATTGAGGTCGACGGGCACCGTTAAAATCAAGCAAGGGGGTGAACTTGGTTAAGAATATTTGCTAACTCTACTCAAGTGAATTATACCCAATCAGTCTATGCAGAAATAGACTCGATACTAAGCCCGCAAGTTCATATGTAGTCCTGATAGCTTGTCTAGCAGGTTATCGAATGACAGCAACTAATTTAAACGACCTAAGCTGAAATAAAAATGGATGGGAATAGATATTCTAAGCAGTCATCATTAAATAAAATTTAATGAAATGTATAAAAGGCCGAGAATAAACTTAAATTTGCTACATATATATATATATATGTATACAATGTGATAATGATATTCTCGACAAGGAGGGAATGTATTATTGCAGTTTCAGCCTGCCTCCTGAATAGCATAACTCAATGATTCCCAAACAGTGCGCGACGGCGCCCCGGGGAGCCGCGGCCTCTAAACAGGGGCGCCACGAAATATTGAAAAAGTTTCAATTTAAAAAATGTGCAGTGATTTGTAGTCTCATCTATGACATTAATTATTAAATATTAATTAAATGCTAATAAAATAAAAAAATAACGAATTTTATTTATTTTTATCTCTTGCTTACCAAGTCATACTTAGGGTAGGGCGCCATGAAAAAATTTTTATTGAAAAAGGGCGTCGCGACTAGAAAAAGTTTGGGAACCACTGGCATAACTGGTTAAAATAAAACTGAGAGTAGTGTAATAACCTAACCTGAGTGGCATGTAAATAGCAATCGCCGGAGTGATCTGCCATGCAAAAAAGACCAATTCACGCCAGTTCTTGTCACGGGCCAATTTTTCACGAAGCCAGTTACAGACCTCATCTTCGTCAGAAAAAGATGCATCAGGGCGACCCTGAGGATTCAGCCAAACTGACAGACGCTCGATTTCTGACGCCTATAGAAAGTTTTGAAGTAAGAGCAAGGTGAGCATAAAAGTAAAAAAATTGGTCCAAATAGAAATAAGGAGGAACAATATCTAATACTGCTTCTTTTTTAATGTTAACAAAGTGGCCAGATGAGGATAGTGAAAATTTGGCCTCAAAATGATATTGTAATTTTGAGAAAATATGATGATATGAGATGCATTCACCCCATGTCGTTTAACGTGATGAAGGACTGGTAGTAGAATTTTCCCACAATGTTATAAGTAAGACTGACGTTTCCAGTGAATTTCAAAGCCCTGCTTTCCCTAAAGTTGTTCTCATCAAGGGTGGACTGCAGGTTCAACCTCGCCTAGGCCTTATCAACATCCCAGTGGGAGTCGAATCGTGAAAGTGCAACATGCAAGCTTGACACGCTAACCAATCAGCCACATTTCCACGAGTGTCGTTGGGTAAAAGGGCTCATGCGAACTTCAAGGAAGGTCAGGCTGTATCCCATATCACATCATTTAGTGAGATTGTAAATAAAGCAAACTTATTTTTCGTATATAAGGAGAGTTTCGAGACTATAAATAAATCAGTTATATAAGATGTATTAATCCTATTTCGTTTAAGGTGATGAACGACTGGTAGTAGAATTTTCGCACAATGATATGAGTAAAGCTGACGTTTCTATTATAGCGAAAAAAAATTCGCTTCAACGACAATTCCAACAAGGAATGTGATATGGAAAAAGGCCTGGCCTTCCTTGAAATTCGCATCTGTCCTGTGACCCAATGGCACTCGCGGCAATGTGGCTGAATAGTTGAAGTTTAAAGCTCAATGTTACACTGTCACGGTTCGACTTCGGCTGAGGGCGTGGATAAGACTTAGGCGAGATCGAATCTGAAGTCCACCCTGGATGAGAACAACTTTCGGGAAAGCAAATCTATGTGAAATTCAATGGAAACGTCGGCTTTACTCATATCGTTGTGGGAAAATTTTACTACCAGTCCTTCATTACCCCAAACGAAATAGGATCAATATATCTCATATAACTGATTTACTGGTAGTCCGAAACTCTGCCTATGCATAAAATACGTTTATGTATAAAAATCTTAGAGGGTCTGATTTAAACTTGTCTGGACAAATGAGCATGCACTGCCAGTACTCAGAGCCGAGAACCTCTAGATTCAGCTAGACACCCAATAGGAATCAGAAAAAATTCATCCTTTCAA